TGAATATTTGAAGGCGCGCGGATCGGCGGCGGGGCTTCGGCGCGCGGATCCACCTCTGTGCCTCACGGCTAATAAAGTGCGCGTGGCGACGCGACGCGACGCGACGCGGTGCGGCGCGGGGAGAAATGGAGAAGAGGAGGAGAAAGCGATATTGCCAATACCGCGAGGGAAGGTGCCTCGCGTGTCTTGCTGGATGGTCGGGTGGAATTTAAATCCATGGCGTCGGGTGTCGCTGAGTTGAGAAGAGTGAACAACATACAAAAATAAATAATATTAGGACAGAATTCATTAATAATGTACGATCTACATGAAAAGTTTCCGAAAGTAATTGAATAATGAGATATTATTTTATTGTTACAGTAGTTCATTCTGCAAATAAAACAATTAATAGAAAATAACACAATTAAATAGAAATAATGCTAACCGGAAAAAACGACCATTTCCGACAAAAAATTTAAAAAGAAATCCGTTTGTTCCCACAATGCACTTCTCTGTAGGTGCAATTCATGTAACAAAACGAAAATAAATGTGCGTTACCATGAAAACACTGACGCCAGGCAGACTAATTATTCTTTGCGATTGATCGTATCAAACACACGATCAGTTAGCCAACTTAGCCTATTTGTTATGCAAAGCGTACATATATATGACCTTAAATGCGATTGTTATTGACGATATACTGTTGTTCGACGACAAAGAAGACAAAGCGAATTTCATGATTTTCTCGGGTGAAGTATACGATAACTCCAGTTTGTGTGTGTCAATTAACACTGTCTTAAAAACGTTCAGAAATGATGACGAAATATGCTAAATGCTTGAATGTTAAAAATAATATTAAGCTTCAATTTTTTATTTTCCTCATATAATGGAAGAAGAGCTATTTTATAATTTATTTTATGAACTTTGATAATCACTACACTGCTGTAAGCACTGTTTTCATAATTTAATTAACTTTCCAATAGAAATAAAGTGAAATGTATAAACTAATATCCCTTCTCTTTAATTTGAAGCTCTTCTCCTCTTCTGTAAATGCTAATATAACGTACATTAAAATAAATCAATCAATGTTATAATTTAAATGTATTAAAGTTAGGCTGTTTAATTCAAAACGAACAGAAAAGTCGCGGTAAATTAAAAATATAATTTAAAGTGTTGCTCGCAAATTATTTAGCTTCTTTCTTGAATACTTAAGTTGCTCTCCGTTCCTAAGAAATTACTAATTAAAGAAGTAATAAATGATTTTGTCTGTGAGTTTGAACATATCTAATTATTTAAATTACATAGTGTGTCTGTTATATAATTAATATTAATACGAAAATGTTTGTTTGAAGCTTGGAAATACTAATGTTCAAGGTATGTTAGTAATAGTCAAGACTTCTTGTAAAATTATTGACAGCTTTCGATATTCAATGAAGTATTGGTGCAAATGTGTACTGAAAAGGGCAAACAATAACCGTAGTAAAGATGATTAAGTTTGAAAGAAAGAAACTCTTCTAAATGAATTTTGATAGTCATGATATTCGTCTTCATTTTTTATGACAAGATGGATTGCAACATTAATGTAATACTTTCAAACAGGTTTACAACAAATATGTCACAAGAATAATAATTAATGATATTATCCAGAGCAACAATATAATTCATGAATATTAGGCAATCACGTAAGTCTCTGAAGAACAGCTTCGGTTTCCCAGAGTGAAGGTATTCATCTAGTAGCTTAACAAATCGTTCCTTGGGAGAAGTGAAGTCCACGTTGCACCTTCATAGGCTGCCTTTGATGCTTTCGAATCGTGGTCATTCGAAAGTGAACTCCGAAGAGCGAGCGTTCCACTTGAGAAGTTATGACTCCACTTCTTTTCTACTGGCGCTGCCCTTTGTCTTTTGTCTTTCAATTATGGTGTTAGTTAAGTTGACTAATTCTTTCAGCATACTGTGATGTAAACATCCTAATTATATTTCGAAACAATTTTGAGAATTAACTTCTATATTTTGTCTTTGAAACGTTTTTATTTCGTGAATGAAATAAGTGCAGTCACCTTCATTTATTATCCCTCCGGTACTCTAAAAAATACACATTTTATTCTAGAAAGAAAATACTTAAATTAATCATCTGTTTTTCACGTTAAGACACTTTAAAGACCTTTCAAATACTTTTAAATATATTTCATTTGTACACGTATTAAACATGCCACACCATGGTATCAGTTAATACATGGTATTAAACCTTTTCAAATTTTCAGTATTATATGGAGAGAGATGCAGAGAGAGAGAGAGAGAGAGAGAGAGAGAGAGAGAGAGAGAGACCGACAGGCAGATAGACAGTGTTATAAATGTTTATTTCTTTGCATAAAATGTGAGTCAGAAAAAAATGATTTAGGTAATATGCTCTGGAAAAACCCTCGATTTTAGGCCATTCACGATGTTAAACTTACATCTGTATTTTTCACTTATCCATTTTTATTTTCGTACAAAAACATAACAATTGGGAATACAAGAAAGAACGGATAAAATACTTATTTTTTCCAATGATATCCTGCGCAGGTGGCAAAAAAATTACAACTGAAATATATACCACAAAAATCTATTACATTTGCATGACTTATTTATCGAAGCGTGAACAGTTCGCGGCAATATACAGATCTCAGACTACCCACTCCTAGACGCTACATGTAGTAAACAGTTTTTTGAAGTGTGCGAGTACCTCAAACGAAGCGCGGGTGAATGCGCGTGTGCGTGGGCAAGAGGGTGGGATAGTGAGCGACAGGGTGGATAGAGTAGGGGTGGCAAACGGGCGGGAAGGTTGGCGAGTGAGTGTATACGCGGGCGAATGAGTGAGAGGGTGGGCGAGAGGGAGTGGGGGTGAGAGAGAGGCCAGCCAAGTGAGGGCTGGTGAATGAGAGAGCGAGTGAGAGGGCGGACGAGTGAGAGAGCAGGCGAGTGAGAGGTAAGGGAAGGGAAAGAGCGGCAGAGTGGGTGAGACGGCGGGAGAGTGAGATGGCGGACCAGTGAGAGGGTGGGCGAGTGAGAGGGAGGGCGAGTGGAGAGAGGGAGGGTGAGTGAGTTGGGCTACTGAGTAAATGGGAGAATGAGTGGATGAGTGAGAGATTGGATGAGTGAGAGAGTGGATGGGTGATTAAGTGTTTGAGGAGTGATTGACTGAGAGATTCAGCTGTCGTTTGGGGGAGGGGCAGGCAAGACGGTGGGCGGGCGGGCAGGCGGCCGAGTGAGGCGAGCAAGTGGAGAAGTAGGCGAGTGGGCGGGCGAGTCAGTAGGAAGAGGAGTGAAGGGGCCGGTGGGCGGACGAGCGAGTAGAGGGGAAGTGGGCGGGCGAGCCGGCCACATGTCGCAGGCAGGCCACCGCAACTCGGGCAACGCCGCCCACGCGGCTCCTCGCAGCGGTCGCGCATCTGCAGTGCGGCCGACCGCCGCTACGGCCCGCCCCCGCGCGCCCCCGCGCGCCCCGCCACTTTACGACCCCAACCCACCCGCCGCCACGCGGATTTATGCTAAGGATGCTCTCGCTCCTTGGCCTCTCATAAATTCTTTGTATTTATTAATTAATGCTCAATATTAAGAGGTGGAGGAGGTTATTATTAGTTTAGACATTATTTATTGGTCTGAGGAGGGCGTTCAGTTGTATTAAAAAATTAAAAGTTGAAAACAAATTTTCTATGTATTCTGACTCATACGTTTCTTGGGAATTTTCCCCTCTCGCACCATTGGCTTTATGTGGTTGAATTGAAATATTAAGAGGAGGAAATTAATAAATTATGGATTATTTGCAAATTTCAGCATTTGACATTTAATTAGTATTGTACAAAAATAAACATTTTTCATAAACATTTTTCTGTGTGTGTTTTTGCAAGACACAATCTCTTCCCATGGTTTTAATAGCGTTTCTATTGGTCTTACTCTTTCTCAGATAACTTATAAATGTACAGCAATATAAAATAAATGACTAATGTATTAAATTATACATTATTTTAAAATATCAGGTTTTACGTCGTCAAGCTATACTGACAGAGAGATAGTTCAAGTTGCGGAAGTTCCTTTAGTAGGTGTGCCAACATACATGTTTATCGCAATTATATTTCCCTCATACGTCAAATATAATTTTTACTGTTTTCCTGAGCGTAAAAAAATATCGTGTTTCCTTGCTTTACATATTACTTGCTATTTTATTTTCGAAGTATAAAAGAGTTAAAATGTGTGAATTGCGAACTTTTTAAAAATAATCATTTTTATTACGATATTTTCACACCATTTATATCACAGGAATAGTTATATTTCTTCAATTGATTTGTTCATTTCGTAGATATTCTTGAACATTTATTCGAAATAAGTATCACGTTTTTCATAGTGGAAGCTCTCGTATTGTTTTTTAACTATTTTAAAATTTCCAAGTAGTCTATTATATATATATATATATATATATATATATATATAAAATACGTATTTCAAATATTTAAATTTTCAAGTCTGCCTTTTAAATTGAATGTTTATATTTATATTTACAGATAAGACTTTCACCATGTGCTAAAGGAAAGTTCAAGGTATACAATCATCTTTTAAGGTTTTAATAGTTTTGAGAACTTGAAATTTCACAATTTTTCTATTGATGGATTGATTGATTATTTCATGTTATGGCCACAACTTTCGTAAGTGTAGCGCTTATTATTATCACGGGAGGTCGTAGGGCTCTTACTTCACTTGATAACATCTGGCGCCGACCTACACATCGTCTTGCTGAGATTTTCTCATCCAGCGGGGCATATATTTCACCATTCGGTCACCACCCCAGTCAGTATAGGATTTCAGCTCCCCATTATTATCCTGATAAGTGTAGTTGTTTAATCCAGGCTTCTGTGAGAGTGAGTAAAGTGTGAGGATAGTATAAGGCTTCGCGTTCCCCGCGCGTCCCTCAGCCGATGGCGAGTCTTCCCCCTCGCGTTCGGCTGCCTCCGCTCGCTTGCACAAGGCAGCAAGCGTGTCGTGAGGCAGCGTGTGGAAGGAGAAGGCGACGCACTCGGGACCTTTCCAGAGGTGGGACCAATGCGCGTCGCTGTTTGCCTCACGGCCGGTGTCGCGCAGGATGCGCGGTGCCTTCGGACCCAGAGCCCTTGTAAGCGCCGTCACTGACCGCCTTTGGAGCTCCGGCAAGAATTGTTT